TGCTGAGTGAATGGGAATAGATAGAAATGTTAACCACAGCCAGTTTTCTATCTCCTGTGATTACACGATACACAGCCTCACCTGCACAAATGTGAACAAATGGGCCTCGGGATTAGTTTCAGCAGGACTAGATAACAGAGCCAGTGCAGGCACGAGGGGCTGAATGGCCTCCTTCAGTACTGAAATAAATCTGAGATTCTTGGATTCTGTGAATGTGGTTAATCAGTCTTGCAATGATGTTCATTTCTGGATGTATAACGTATATCGACTTAGTCAAGTTATGGGTAAGAAAACAAGTCATGCTCCACAGAAGAATAAACGGTGGTAAATTATGCAGAGAAAACTGACCTTGGTTTTTTGGAAGCCTGGTTTCTAGTATCGTTGTACAGAAATTTCTCTGTAGTTCTAACTAATTTCTAACTTTGAATTCAGTGACACTGAAGGAACAGTGATATATTTCCCAGTCAGGATGGGGAGTGGTTTGGAGACCGACTTACAGATGGTGGTGTTCCCATGTATCTGCTGCCCTTGTCCTTCTAGATGGTAAAGGTAGTGGTTTTGGAAAGTGCTATCCAAAGAACCTTGGAGTATTTCTGCAGCTCATCACACTGCTGCCACTGAGCGTCAATGGTGGAGGGAGTGGATGTGGTGCCAGTTAAGCAGGCTACTTTGTCCTAGATGGTATTGTTGGAGCTACACCCATCCAGGCAAGTGGAGAGTATTCCATCACACTCCTGACTTGTGCCTTGTAGATGGTGGGACAGGCTTTGAGGAATCAGGAGAGGAGTCACTTACCACAGTATTCCTCGCCTCTAACTTACTCTTGTAGCCACTGTGTCTGTATGGCTATTCCAGGTGATTTTCTGGTCAATGGTAACCCCTAGGGGGTTGATAGTGGTGGATTCAGTGATGGTAATATCATTGATTGTCAAGGGGTGATGGTTAAGGTTCTCATTTATTGCAGATGCTCACTCCTGAGCCAGAAGTCATGCCGGATTTTAAATGTTGACTCTTTTTCTTCACAGATGGAAGACCGCTGAATTTATATGTTATTGCCTGGTACTTGTCTGGTGTAATCGTCACGTGCCACTTGCGAGTCCAGATTTTGTTGCATTTGAACACGGACTGCTTCAGTATCTGAGGAATCACAAATGGTGTTGAACATTGTGAAATCATCAGCAGACATCCCCACTTTGACCTTACGATGGAGGGAAGGTCATTGATGAAGCAGCTGAAGATGGTTGGGCCTAGGACACTACCCTGAGGGACTCCTGCAGACATGTCCTGGAGCTGAGATGATTGACCTCCCACAACCACAACCATCTTCCTATGTGTCAGGTATGACTCCAACCACCAGAGAGTTTGCCCCTGATACCCATTGATTCCAGTTTTGCTCGGGGTCCTTGATGCCACACTCGGTCAAATGCAGCCTTGATGTCAAGGGCTGTCACTCCCACCTCACCTCTGGTATTCAGCTCTTTTGTCCATGTTTGAGCCAAGGCCGAAATGAGATCAGGAGCTGAGTGACCCTGGCGGAACCCAAACTGGGCATCACTGAGCAGGTTATTGCTGAGCAGGTGCTGCTTGGTAGCACTGTTGATGACATCTTCTATCACTTTACTGATGATCGAGAGGAGACTGGTGGGGTGGTAATTGGCTGGGTTGGATTTGTCCTGCTTTTTATGTACAGGACATGCCTGGGCAATTTTCCATATTGTCAGGTAGATACCAGTGTTGTAACTGTACAGGAACAGCTTGGCTAGGGGAGCAGCAAGTTCTGGAGCACAAGCCTTCAGAACTATTGCCGGGATGTTGTCAGGACCTGTAGCCTTTGCAGTATCCAGTGTCTCCAACTGTTTCTTGATATCACGTGGACTGAATCGAATTGGCTGAAGACTGGTATCTGAGAGTTGGGGTCTTTGGATGAGGTCGACATGGATTATCCACTTGGCACTTCTGGCTTAAAATTGTTGCAAATTCTTCAGCCTTATCTTTGGGCTCTTCTATCATTGAGGATGGGATATTTGTGGAGCCTCTTCCTCTAGTGAGTTGTTTAATAATCCACCACCATTCATGACAGCTTGGCATGCAAGTAGTTTTGTTTAGTAAATTCACCAAGTTGACACCTCATTTTCAGATATGCCTGGTGCTGCTCCTGGCATGCCCTCCTGCACTCTCCGTTGAACCAGGGTTGATCCCCTGGCTTGATGGTAATGATTGAGTGGGGGATATGCCAGGCCATGAGGTTACAGATTGTGCTGGAGTACAATTCTGCTGCTGTTAATGGCCCACAGCATCTCATGGATGGCCAATCTGGACTTGCTAGATCTGTGCGAAGTCTGTCCCATTTAGCACAGTGATAGTTCCACACAACATGACGGAGATTATTCTCAATGTGAAGGCGGGACTTCATCTCCACAAGGATTGAGCAGTGGTTGGTCTTACTGATCCTGTCATGGACAGGTGCATCTGCAACCAGGTAAGGATGAGGTCAAGTATGTTTCTTCCTCTTGTTGGTTTCCTCACCACCTGCCGCAGACCCAGTCTAGCAGCTCCACCAAACTTTAGGAGGATGTTTATGACTGCACAAAGATGAGTGGCAGATTAGATGATTGGTCAGAACACGAAGAATGTCTGAGAGTGACTAAAAAGTGAATCAGGAATAAGACATTAGAATATAAGACGAAGCTAGCTAGCAATGTAAAAATGGATAGTTAGAGTTTCTAAAGTTATTTAAAATGGAAAAGAACAAGTAAAACATTGAGTGTTGGTCCTGCAGAGAGTGAGAGCGGACAGTTCATAGCAGATAATGTGAAAATGACAGATAAAGGAAACAAATATTTAGCTTTTGTTTTCACTTTGTCAATACAGTTATGCACAGCCTAAATAAGCCTCCTCCCAGCCTTCTCCATCTCACTCTGTGTGCACGGCCTTTTCTTCTGGTCTTCCTCCTGTACTTAGCCAGCTTCTCCTCGAATGCTCCGTGTGGTCATCAGTTCCCTATTTGCAGCAGTCTCTGGTGAATTTCAGTCTCCACTCTGCCCCATTAATTACCATGGTTTCTGGGCAGTACAAGCCTCATTAAGAAGAGTTGTTGTTCCACAGAATGACTCTCAGCCTCAGTATGAGCCAATGCAAACCAATCAAAATTGTTCTGATTGCATGGAAACATTTCAGGTGGCTGGAGTCCTTAGTTCAAGTGAAAAATATGAAAGGTCGTAAATCATGGATGAGAGGGGTGGGGGAATGTGTCTGACAGGTACAGCAGCCATCTTAATCTTGGACAAATACTCAATGTTTCTACAACATCAAAGCAGTTTTTAAAAGAGCACGACAAAAGCACATTGAACATGTGCATAAAGGCTCGGAGCAGATCATTCAGAGCAGATTAATTTTCATATTTCTGTGTTTATAAACCAATAAGATGTGACTGTGCATGAGCAAGTTCATGTAAAAAAAAAAGCACGAAGTATTTTTGAATGGACTGATCACAACATTACCTTTGTCCTTCTAAAACATGTAAAATGTCAACATTGCAGTCAATCCAGGACAGCACTGGGATGCTGGTGAGTGAGAATAAGGTGATGGCACCCTGAACTTGATGGAATTGACTTATCACTGTATTTCCTCCTTCACCATGGAGACTGAACCTAACAATGGATGGTTGCATTGCCTAGAGTCAAGCAAGAAGATAGAGAATGACATCCGGTCACATCCATTGGACCCCATTTACTATTTGAGGACAGTACCAGCAAGAGGATGGAACGCGCACACTCTGTCCAGCATTAGCTCATGCTTCAGCCAAAGAGGATCCCAAAGGCAGTTTTGAATGTATTTGCTCAAGTCTGGTTGAAGCAACTGTTACTCTAGGATCTGAAAATCCACCCTCGGCCAATGTTCCTCCAGGCTCTTTATTCTTTGGGAGATTACATCACCTCCAGAGCAGACTGCTAGAAGTTAGGTGCATGAGGGGGAGATTTCAATATTCTTCCAGAAGCTCACTGGTCAAATGCTGAGAAGACCTGGACCTGATAATGATTGAACCTCTGGCTCGGACTAATGGCCCACCACCCAGTTACCCCGAACTCTGCACCACGAGTAAACTTACCAATGTCTGTTGACTGCACCATACAGGGGTTTATGAACAAACAACCTATGAAAACTCGTACCTACGACTGTGATCCCACACAAGGGGAATAATTTTAAAGACCCAACATACGGAATATTTCCTGTACTTATGAAAAGCTCCTTGACATTGTCCTGCATTATGTTATGACCTGTGTATAAACTCACTTGTGAACAGACTTCAAAATGAAACCCATTCACAACTCAAGCATTGCCCATCCTGTTGTTGTCAACCATGTGAGTCATATATAAGTCACTTTCTAGAGGTTTTGGATATTGGATTTGAAATGTTAACCCTGTTTCTCTCACCACAGATAGGAGTGTCTGCAACGTTTTCTGTTTTTATGTCAAATTTCCAACATTTTCAGTATCTTATTGTTATTGCTGTTGACTATTACCTAACCCCAAAATAAACACAGAATGGCAAACAGATATTCCCTTGCAATTATCCTGAAACAAAGATTTCAGCTTCAGGAAACATTGACAACAATGTGGGTTGGAAGGAGGTGGCTGACTGATCACCCTTTATGAATCCCACTCAAAATTCCACTGGAGCAAGGAGACCAGCAGGACAAACCACCCCTGCCCATTTCCCACAACTTCAACTTCATTCTTTCAAGTTTAAAATCATTCACTTATTGGTGACATCAGAAACAGTGAGATTGATACACATTCATCAAATTGCATCAATAGACTGGCTCAGTGTTTGCTGCAGCTTGTTTAATCATTATACCTGACCCAGGGACTTTTCTGCTACATTATCCTCTTACTCAGGTCCCTCAGTGCAGTCATTAGCTCTTGTCCCTTCAAAGCACTGTTGACAAAATGCTGCAGGAGTAGCTTCATCACAAATTGTGGACAGAAGGACACCTTACCTCCTCATGATGTTCATCTCGGGACCGCTGAACGAACCACTGGATAGATGCCTGCTGGGATTTGGGGATGCACTCCAGGAAAGTGGAGTTAAACTCAATGCCAAAAATCAACTTCTCTTCAGCTTCATTACTCATACCTGTCAATCATAAACACCGACATCAGTGTGAGTTTTGCACTGGGGAGCTAGTGTCTGTTAAAACAAATCCTATTGTCCAGTGCAGGTGAATATTTAATAGCAGACAGTTTGGTGGGGGTGGGGGAGATATTATTCCTTCAGTGCTGTGGGAATTATGAGCTCAATCAGCACTTATTGTCCATTCCTATTTATGCATGACGAGGTGGTAGGAAGCCACATTATTGAACCATTACCGTCCGTGTGGTGTAGGAATACAGTACTGTTACTGGATTTTGGCCCTGCATCTAAATTCAGTCAAAAATTGCAGGGCTGTCACTGTAACTGAACCAAAGATTCTAAGCTAGTAAGCAGTGCATTCTTAGTTTGAGACAGTTTTGGCCACAGTCAGTCAGTCAGTTCTTAGCATTTCTGAGTGGAGAAAGTGAAAATGCAAGGAAAAGAACTCATATAATCATAGAAACCAAAAGAACTGTGGATGCTGGTAAATCAGGAACAAAAACAAAGTTGCTGGAAAAGCTCAGCAGGTCTGGCAGCATCTGTGAAGGAAAAAACAGAGTTAATGTTTTGGGTCCGGTGACCTTTCCTCAGAACTTCCCCATATAATCACAGAACTGTTTATCAAGATGCTACAGATATCAAAGTTTTCTCTGCATTAACTGATACCAGATGGAATAAACCTGGAAGAAATCAATCCTAAACTAGATATTGTTAGGGATGGGCAAGAAATGCTGGCCAGCCAGCAACGCCCACATCCCATAAATGAATAGAACAAAAAAATGAAGAATTATGATTGCTTCCACAACTAGCAGAACACAACATCTTGTATAATTTGTCTTTATGCTTCAAACTGCACTGGTCTGTCAACCTCACTCAATTCAAATGCTGATGATCCACATGGAGAACCATAGGGAGCCAGACAGATTTCCTCAATGTTTGGCCTGTGTTATATTCGACGGGACAGCACCACATGTATTCTTGGTGATTTTCGGATGATCCATTCATGGTCTGGATCTCACTCAGTAACAGTGGTTAGTGAGAAATCACAGACAGGAGCTGGGAAATCTGGAAAGGCTCCCTGTTAGCTTGCAGTCAGAATGCTGGACATGGAGTGTCAAAAGTTAAACATATCCCCTTCCCTTATCACATTCACCTTGTTCAGGGCAAAACTGAGTGCATTTGACACACAAAATGTCAAGCGTCTTCAAAGTGTCTTTCAGAGATCCTAGCTACTTGCTTTACTCCTTTGAGTGAGGAACACCAAAGATTGAAAGAACAGCAATAACAATAACGTCGCTGTAAATTTTTATATGGTAAGAAATGTGCAGTAATGGGCTGTTATGAGTTTATTTTGAAAGCTAATTTCAATGGACATGAAAAATGTAAGAATGAGTTTTGCTTCTTTTGCTATACTCTCACTAAACATTGATATCCGTGGGGCAATGGCTAGCATTCCTGCCACTGAGGCAAAAGTTTAGGTTCATGTCCAACTCCAAGATTTCCAAAGAAAATCAAGCCAGACTCTCGAATGCAGTACTGAGGGAGTTCCACACTGTCGGAGGGTCAGTGCTGAGGGAGTGCTGCGTATTCAGAGGGTAAGTGCTGAGTGAACGCTGCACTGTTGGAGGCACTATCTTTTCATAGCAACATTAACCTGTAGCTCTATCTGCCTGCTCAGGTGTATATGAAACATCCCATGGTCCTATTTTAAAGAAAAACAGAAGAGTTTTAATCAGAGTATTGGCCATTGCTTATGTCCCCAACATCACAATAAAGTGGATTACCTAGTAATTATCACACTGCTGTTTGTGGGAACTCACTGTGTGAAAATCAGCTGTATGTAACGTCCTATATTGCTGCAGTAACCCCACCTAAAAATGCTTCGTTGGCTGTAAGCTCTCTTTTGAAAACTTGGTACTTATGAAAATTGCTATATAAATGCAAATATTTCTTCAATTCCAAAAGCAGTCACCCCCAACGTTGGTTTGTTGAAGCTCACTCTGGAGTTAAATGTATGTTTTTTATTCATTCAAAGGACGTGGGCATTATTCGCTGGTCCCATCCTTAGTTGCCCCTTGAGAAGGTGGGGGTGAGCTGCTTTCTTGAACCGCTGCAGTCCATGTACTGTGGGTTGACCCACAATGCCCCTTAGGGAGGGAGTTTCAGGAATTTGATTCAGCAACAGCGAAGGAATAGTGATACATTTCCAAGTCAGGATGGTGAGTGGCTTGGAGGGGAACTTGAAGGGGATGGTGTTCCCATGTATCTGCTGCCCTTGTCCTTCTAGATGGAAGTGGTTGTGGGTTTGGGAGGTGCTGACTATGGATTTTTGATGAATTTCTGCAGGTAATCTTGTAGATAGTACAAGCAGCATCAGAGGAGCAGGAAAGCTGACGTTTCAGGCCTTCGTAGATAGTACACACTGCTGCTACTGAGCGTCAGTGGTGGAGGGAGTGAATGTTTGTGAATGTGGTGACAATCAAACTGGCTGCTTTGTGTCAAGCTTCTTGAGTGTTGTAAGCATAAAACATGGAGTGGTGTCAAACATAACTATGTTAAATTTTCTCTATATCCTACAGTGGCTCCTGGTCAAACACTTAAAATTCTCAGGCTTGTTGTTAAACCCTTCCTGATCACACTCTCTCCGATTTCTAACGTCCTTCAGCACTACAAGCCTCAAGAATCTCTGCACGCCTCCAATCCTGAACTCTTGTGCTTGTCTGATTTTAGTCACTCCACTATTAGTGGCTCTGCCACTTCATCTACCTGGGTCCTTAAGTCTGCAATTCCCTCCCTAACTCCATTTCCACTGTTTCTACCTTTTCTTCAAAACATTCTGTAAAACCCATATCTTTGACCAAGCTCTTCATCATCGTCTTCAATATCTCGCTATATGGCTCAATGTCAACTTTGGTCTGGTGAATCTTGGGAAATTTTATGATGTTAAGTGAACGACAGACACAATCCATTGGTGTCTTGGGAAGAAGTGGCCCTGAAATCCCAGAGATAGTTCACTGAACTTTGCAACATCATTGATCCTTTACATGTGAGAATGTTGAAGGGAGAGTCAAAAATTGAATAAAAACATCAAAAGTGTTCTTATGTTTTGTTAGATGTTTTACTCTGGAGCTAGAGCTAATTTGGACAATGACGTCAATGTTGGCTGACTTTATAATACATTGGTCAGACCACACTTGCAAGACTATGCACACCACACCACAAAAATGGACCTAAACACAGAAAGTAGAGGAAATAAGACAGATCCCAAGTGTAATAAGGATTAGACATGAGGGAAGATTAGAGAATTTGGCTTCCTCTGCCACTTGCGTCATTTCCCACACTCTCTGTATTCTCCATAGAAGCGGTTTCCTGGCCTTTGAATGGATTAAAAAGTGGATTAGCAACAGAAACCAGATGGCTGTGATAACCAGGGAAAGCGTTCTCACATGGGTCAATGCTGAGGAAACTCCATGTGAATCCATTGCATGGGCCTGTGCTGTCCTCATATTATGTTCAGGCAGGTACAGAGCTCTGAGTGGATATATCTAATTTTGACTATGTCTGCTTTACTCCATTGGTAACTTGGGTTGCTGTGAGAAAAACTGTACCAGAAATATCTGAATAGAAAGTGTACTTAATGGTATGTATTTTCTTATATTCCCTGAACTCGATCACTGTCTCTTTTTTCCAAAACAGTGGGTGGTTCACTTTGAGGTATTTCCTGCACTCTCTGTGTCGTCAAGACCAGCCAATTAGAGGAAAACTGTAAAGCTTAGAACTCAAATGTTCCTTGGTCTCCAGAGAGGAATGTTCACTATCAGCATAGTCAGAAGTTGGAAACTCATTATTGATTCTGCTTTTATGAAGCGCCTCGGTACGTGTTACTACACTTTAGGCACTACACAAACACAAATTGGCAATTTTGAACAGTCAGCATAAGCTCATTTACAATGATAAATGGTCATTTATAACCCCCCTGCGAAGCATCATCCAAGGATGCCCACCGTGAAGTTATCCTCCTCCCTCCAGAAAGACCTCAGTGGATTTCTCTCCCACCACAACCCTCTGGTAGTCTCAGAAGGGTCCCTACCCGAAACATCAGCTTTCCTGCTCCTCTGATGCTGCCTGGTCTGCTGTGTTCCTCCAGCTTCACACTCATACCCATCAGCAGCATGAAGCAGCAGTTGCAGGTCTGAACCCCAGCTCCCTCTGAATCATGTCACCACTCGTTCTGACCAGCACCTTACGTTTCTCAAATCTATCAGATTCAAAACATGTCTCATGTTTCCCTCAATTCTAATTATCTTTGAAAATGACAAGCTTTCTTAAACTCCTTTGTAAGTCCAGCATTCTGTACTGTCAGGGCTGCAGACTTGGCTACATTCAGGAATCCGGGTGTTTTGAAATGAAATTTTCAGTGTCTTTCTCATGTAATAAATGGTAAGTACATACAAGGGTCCCTGTATTTATGCAAGATATATATCTATCACTAAAAAGTAATTTGACCAAAATCTAAGCCAGATTTTCACAGACTGTCAAGTTCCAATGTTTGAGCATGTTGTACATACAGTGTTTCTTATACTGTGGGTTAGGGGACACAAAACCTGCATGTCAACTTATAGTCCCTAAAATCTGAAGCACCTAATATTCCTCACAATAATTAAACAATCTGTCTATATAAGCGAAACTCAAATAAAACTTTTAGTCCTGTGGCTCGATATATAGAATATTATTGACTCTCTTCCTTCTAAGCACTTTTACAAGACAACATCTGCTGTAAAAGATGTAGAAAAAAAAACTTACTTTCTTCCAGATCCCAGCACTGGCTGATGGGGTCCCCATGTTTTACATCTTGACGTCTAGTCCGCCTGTACAAACATCATAAATGCCAATGAAATATTCATCACAGAAAACTTGCTTTGATCAGTTAACAGAGGGAGAAAAAAATCTCTGAAGCAAAATGTTTTTGCAGTTTGCAGTTGTGAACTTGCTTGCCATTACAATAAGGGCTGCTATTTTATTACACTTCCTTTACCAGGCGTGACTCCATCAGCATAGTGTGTCAAATTGCAGAGACTCATTAACTCATTCCTCAGTGATTAATAGTTATTTATCTATTGCTTTGTGTTCTAGCAAGCAGAGGAGAATGATGAATGGAGCAGCTCACTTACACATTGGCTTAAAACATTTCTTAACTACAAAGTCTGCTGTATAAGTAATTTGTAACATCAATCATACATCACTTAATAGCTACTGCTCAATTTGCCTTGCCTGCTCTCCTACTTATTGTCACCTTGGTAATATTTTCCACTATAGATCATGCACCTTCACCTAGGTCTCTGAATAAATAAATAGATGTTTAAGTCTGCTGTATTGACAGTACCATTAACACTGCACAGGTGAAATAGTTGTGAATATTTACAATGTGAAAGGGATTGGGTAATTTGCCAGTTTGATCTCAATCTTGTCAGTGCAATGAAGCAAAAAAATTGCAAGAATTTCTCAAAGATGTATTTCAAACTGGTCCAAGACTGTCTCCTGCAGAGCTGTGATTTCCCAACTGTTTTATAGAACTATATTGCATACAATCCAGAATTTCTGGGTTCTGGATTGTTGACCTATGTGGGAACTGGCTGAGAAATGTCAATTTAAGGTGGACAGTGAGCTACTGCCTAGAGCCTCTGCAACTGTCTCTGATCCTGTGTTACTGTTGGATACTTTAGACAGATCCACAAGACCTATCCGAATAGTTATCCAAGAAAATATGAGACAGTTTAACACTTGGACTAACATCTTGGTAACTGCAATACCAACTCCCCAGTCACTCCTCCCACCACATCCTCCCAAACTAACCAACTCCCCTTGATACCGCTCCTCACCCAACCTGATCGTGTCCCTGACCTAACTACCATACTGATCCAAACTGATTAACACCCTGTCTTGACACAACTAGGCCCTGACCCGACTATGCCTCTCACAAATCTGCCCCTCTGCCAAACTGACTATCCCCCAACTGGACATAACTACTAACCTGACACACATTGAATACCCCGCTGACAGCTCCAATATTCCACTGACTATTCCAATACACCCCTGACCACTCCAATACTCCCTAGCCTGACCACTCCAATACACCCCTGACCACTCCAATACCCCCTAGCCTGACCACTCCAATTCTGCACTGACCACTCCAATACCTGACTGACCACTCTAATACCCCGTAGCCTGACCACCTGCCTGATCACCCAGCGAGTCCCTTCCCTCAAGCCAACTACTGCCCCTTGACCTGGGCTGGCTAATACCTCAACCTAAGCTAACAATCCAACTATCCCCAATGCGAACACCTGTCCAATCACATGACAAGCCCCATCCCTGTTTCAAACAACACCTATCCACTCTCCCAATTGCCCCTGAACTCACCCTGTCACCTCACCCACCCTGTACCCCTTCACACACCCTGCGCCCCTCACCCACCCTGTGTTTCTATCCATTTACTCATTTACCTAGTGTCCCACTGACCTTTCCACTCACCAGTATACAAAGATTGGGCCTTTAAACGTATTGTACAATGGCAAGTGCAGTAAAAGTGGGAGCTTTTACTATCCAGTCTTTCCCCAGCTCGGTTGCAGTTCCCTGAGGGACAATGCATTGTGCATTGCTGTGATAGCCGGGATGGGAGGATCTTGAGGGAAATGTATCGCAGTGTTGTCTCAGGAGAATCTTGGGAGTTTTGGCAAACTGACCATCACTGCCACTGCTCAGGAGATTCAGGCTAGCTCTCTGAAAAACCCATCTACATTCTCTTGATTCCTCAACTTCTAGATACTCATTTTCAAATATTTATCCACCTTCTTTTGAAAGGAAGTTGGGTTTTCTGTTTCCATCAGTGTAACTGCCCTAAAAATCCACTGTTAAACAGTGCTCAATACTTCAAGAGTCCTCAAAGGACTTTGCACAATTTTCATGTTAAAGCTTGCTTATGATCACACCAAAGCATCAAGGTCCAGCTGGCTAAAAGTAATAATTCCTTGTCCCTGAGCCCAGTGTGATCTGCTCCTGCACGCTGCAATATTCCAGAACTAAAACTAGAGTCGATAACAACAATTTCAATGAAGAATATATTTAAACAGTAACGTTACTCAATACCAATATCCTTAGACAAGGCTGGTATCTGCAATGAGGCATGAGCTCAGGTCTGTTCCCTAACAGTTGTCCTTCACTGAGATCACTAACTGTATCGTGGTAAGTTTAGTAGCTGTGACTGATATCTCGAAGAGGATGAATTCCTGTGGTATTTTCCCAGATGGCAAATGCTGGGATTTTGTAGCATTTGCGATCCCTAACAGTGGTGGTGGGTAAGAGTTGTTTGAGGTAGTTTGTTGCCACCAATCCTGATTTGTCTTGGGCCTATTTTATGATTCGTGGTGGAGGATACACCCCTGTACAGTGTCTACAGAAGGGGCATGGTCTTTCATAACAAGGTTTATTGCATGGTCGTGTTTATTGTATGACGTAGTCAGGTATAATTACCAGGACTTTAGGGAAGTGTTGCAGATACATCTGCTCCCTTTCACAGCTAGAGTAGATTTCCTTTCTTGATCAACAGACTGTTTGTAGAATCAATTGAGCCTATATAAAACGAACATTAACCCTTTCAGACCCATTCATTTATACAACACTTCTCATCCTTATTTCCAAATCTGTCCATGGTCTCATCCCTTCTGCCTTTCTCATTAACTTCAAATGTCTCTACAATTTCCTGAGGTCTGCGTACACCTCAAATTATGGTCTCCAGTACATCCCTGGTTTCTCTGCTTCATTATTTTCAGCCTTATCATTAGCCAGATAGGCCAAGACTCAGAAATTCCTTCAGCTAAACCTCTCTGCTGCTGTATGGCTCTCTCTTGCCTGTTCTGACACTTCCATCACCCTTCGCTTCATGACGGGTCACCTGAATAAACCCTGCCTCCATTAGTTCAGTATAAAATGTTGTTTGATAATGCTGCTTGGGTAAATTTGCTTTTTTAAAGGTTCAATATTAATGCAAGTTGTTTTTGCAGCACTTGGGTTATCTTTGGACAATTGCTCAAGTGGCTATGGTTGCTGATGGGAGTTCACTATCTGGTGAATCTAGATTTCCCTGGGCCATGGTGCGGAGCACTGGAGTGGTCATCAGTCAGCTCCAGATGTAGCCACATTTACCTTGAAACTACAGTCCCTGACAGCTCAGTCAATTAAAGTGAATTAAACTCAGTGACATGTCCCACCCCTGAACTGGAAACATATTTATGGAGTAAACTATTGGAGGCAGTTTCTAGTTTGGTCATGTTATTGGCCACCTGACTGTCCGTTGCACTGACTTTAACAGAACAGAAAAATCAATCCTACTGCACAACAGACAACTAATCTCAGCACGAGATCCCACTCTTGGCCAAAGGAAAATTCATTTCCTTTACTTTAAAATCATTCCAGCTAATATTGATATGCAAAATTAGGAATCACGTGTCCTCAAAATCAACAAATTGAAGCAGGCCTACTGAGCTGAGACCTCAAGTTGAACAGATTTGAAGGTGATCATTGAGTTGTACCCTGTCAGAAGGGCTCACATATGTGCCTGCAGAACATTCATTCATTTACAACATTGTACAGGGTGTTTAACACTGATCATTGTCATTTCAATGAAGTTCAGGGAATGTGGCTGCATCATATTTGATCTTTGCTGTCTGTTGAGGTACATGATTTTGTCACAGAGTGCCTAATTCACTGTCTGGATTCCAGGATTTCTCTCTCCTATTTGCTGTCAAGAAAGAAAAGCAAAATGCTACATGCTGGACATCTGAAATAAACAGAGACTGCTGGAGTAACTCAGCTGGTCTGGTAGCTTTTGCTGAAGTGTTATCTCTAATCTTCCAGTGTTTGCTGTCTAGAAATCTCTGTTCACTGAGAGTATGTTTACTTGAAAGGGTTAAATCTCAGGTGTGGTAGATCTCACAGTCTGTTCACAATCTGTGCATTGGTGAGTCCCCTTCATTGCGGGCTATACACCCCAGTCTTGTTGGCAACCAGAAAATAAGAGAGTATAACTTTTGCAAAGGGCTGAACAATGCGGAGACAGTATGACTTTGCAGCATGTAGTATATTAGACCATAAGATGGCCCCTGGAGCTTGTTCTGCTGTTCAATAGGATCATCTAACATTCCTCATGTCCACTTTCCTGCATTTTCCCCCATAACCCCCAATTCCTGAACTGATCAAGAATCTATCAATCTCAGCCTTAAATATACACAATGACTCTGCCCTCCCCAACACCCCCACCCTATTGCAGCTCTCTGTGGCAAGGAGTTCCAAAGACTCACAACTCCCTGAGAGAAGAAATTCCTCCTCACCTCAGTCTTAACTTGGTATCCCTTTACATGTTGTAAGAAACGAGGTTGTAAAGTCAGGAACCAGAAAGAGAGAGATTGAATGATTACCACAACAGAAAATGATCTCCTGGTAAATCACTTCAAGAGAACTTGGAGCGCGATAAGAGTCTGGTTGCATGCTACACAAGTATAATATGATGGAATTTTTCTGTAAAGTAATTGAGTTATCTTTGGCCTTTTCTCAAGCAATGCAACTTTAAGAAGAAATATAAACAGCTTCCAGCAATCTATAATTCAAGAAATATGAAAGCAGAGGCTTCTGTTTCTGCTTAATCATAACCAGCTGAATGCAGCTGGCCACAACCCACCTTTTTGATGCTGGGGCATAACGGGAACATGAGCTGCCATCCCAGGCACAGTAGGGGTCTCTGGCTAAACAGCATTCAGTGCAAGCCTTGCCATAGATGTCACATCGATGCAGCCAGAGCTGGACCAGACCATCTTGTGAGCCAATGTATAATTGCTGCTGTCATTAAACAGTGAAAGAAAAGAATCAACTGCTGTTTCCCGAGAATCTTATTTTACATTTTCCTCTGGACAGGAATTACACAATATCAATAAACATAAATTAATATAAACACTTTAAAAATGTACCTGTTTTGAAGATATCGCCATGTTTAAGATTGGAGAAGGTGCCTGAGAAAATAAGGAAGAAATTTCAGATGTTACATATTTTAAATTCAGCTTGTTGCCAATTTGAACAATAAACGATCAAAGTGACAGCAAGAACTGTAGATGCTGGAGTCAGAGTCGATACAGTGTGGAGCTGGAGGAACACAGCAGGTCAGGCAGCATCAGAGGAGCAGGAAAGTCAATGTTTCAGGCCTAGACCCTTCATCAGGG